ATACCCCCCCGCCCCCACCCGCTCGGGCCAGGCTGCACTTTACACAGCCATATTGATTTTCCCTTTTCCTGTTTTTTTTATTTTTTATATCGAGGGGGCAGGAAAATGTGTGGCTGTGGGTGGTGAGAGCGATCGAGGGGAGGTGGGGGGGGGCTGGAGAAATTGAGGGATCTTTCTAAAGCACTGACTTCTCCTTGACTGCACCTCGGGACGCGACAGCCCCCGTTAGAAGATGTCGGCGGCCGCTGGAAGCTGCTAATCACAGTCACTTCAATCAACGCTCCCGTTCCCTCGGCTTCTCTCTCCCTTCCTCGTCCCCCCCCCCCCCCTTTTTTGTCCCCGGACGCACCCGGCGCTTAACCGGAACCCTCGCCTGAATACCGAGGGGCCGCGTCCGCATCGTAACGGGCAGCTTGCTCCATGTGGAGGAACGCATGTCGTAATATGAAGGTGAAAAGCAAAAAGCTTTTTGCGATTGACATAATCGTAATGGAAACTTGTCGGTCACGGTGGCCGAGAGCAAAAAAAGAAAAAAAAAAGGTGCTAGTTTGAATCCTCCCCAAGATGCCCTCGGTTTTTCTTTTCTTTTTTTTTTTTCATTGTCCGCCAGAAAGCTTTAGATCTTTAGCGTGAAGCCGCTAGCATGTTTCTAATAAAGAGCATGCTCGGGCGATCTTTATAAAAAGGTTACGCAAGGCCTCCCCCGACAGACCTCTCAAATCGCCCGTCTCTCTTTCTTCTCGTCTCCTCTCGCCTTCCCTTCAGATTTGACACTTTCCAAAGGTCACCGGAACATCTTTTTCTCCCCTTTGAGGTGTAGATAAGTGTGAAATAGATGTTGACACCGCAGACACATTGAAAAGCACTTAAACAGAGTGGCCATGTGCCAACCTGTCCGTGTCTGGCTTTCTGCATTTGTAAATACTTTTGAGTGATTGATCTGGAGCGCCGGGTCTCTCTGTAAGCCTGTCAGGTGCAGCGAGAGGGATCAAAAAAACAGATGAGGTCCAGAAACTTCTTCTTTTCTTTCCCCAACTCTTCCTCTCTCTCTCTCACACACGCGTCCGTGCGCTCTGGGATAACTGGAGGAGTAGCTTTAAGTATGTGCGCGCGTGAGAAAGTGCACTCGCGGCTCACAAAGAAGGAATTCGACCGGGGCCCGTTTGATGTTTACCCGAAATGGCACACCGGATGCGTGTTAGTGTACCTTATCTCGCCCGTGTGACATTTTTCAAATGTGACCGGGTGCCAATAAAGGTTGTATGTGTGTGTGTGTGTGTGTGTGTGTGTGCGCAGTGTGTTTTAATGTAATTAATGACCGGCAGTGGTCCCCCACAGCTCTGGTAATGTGCTTGGATCAGTGATATAAACAGGGCGTGAAAGGTCTGCCCAGCGCCAGCCCTTTAAATGACTGGCCTCTCGCTCAGGTAGATGGATGGAAATGTTCTAATATTAATGATGCCGACCTGTTGCGAGGTGAAACCAGCCAGCCATTCGTCGCCGGGGGAACGTGTCTGTCAATACTTACAGAACGTTCTGTCTTGATTTAAAATGTGAATAAAAACGGCGTAGCACTCATCCGCATTTTTTTCTGCGTGCAAGCTTTTTTTTTTTTTTATCCACCCCCCCGTTTTTTCTGTTTCTTATTTGACATGAAGAAAGCTAAAACCAAACACGTTTTCTGAATTTGATTAAATTATTATGACCCATTTCGCAAGATGTGTCAATAGGAAGAACATGCTGAGGCTTAAGTTCTTAATACGAGACATAAACATCTGATCCGTGTTATTCAGCATTAGCTCGGATGGACGACTTTGTGCTAAACGTGATTTGTGAGGCTACAGCTACGCTCCGAATTGGATCCGTAAATACATCTTGGGATAATACAGATTAACCAGTAAAGAATTGACAACAATCAACATGAAAGTAGCTGAACGCAAACTGTTTTAGATGTTTCCCACAGAATCCCCCTGAGTGACCTCATTCATATTCACGCCTGGTCCCGAGCGTTTGGAGACACGGGTTTACACATTACCGCCACCCCGGCTCTGAGGTCAACTCCCACACATACCAGTCAGCCATTGACCAGACTTCCCAGTTAGCCATCAAGCTGAGTCACCCACCTTGTTGCTGCTATTCTATAAATGAACGCCACAAATAGCTCGACATGAACTATGATATCATCTGTAAGAAAAAGGTCATTTGTGACAGTACTTTAACTAGTACTGAAGCTGCTGTTTTTTTTGTTACACAGTAGGTTTGACATATTTTTGATTGCATATTATTGGAAAAAGTTGCTACGGGGAATAGAACTCAAACCTGTGTGTGTGTGTGTATTTGGGTGTGGTGGCACCTAGGTGCCGTGTTATCTCACCGTACTATGAGTTAGTGGCATACCCACAAAGATGAGGTAGACCAACCACAGAACTATAGAGACCTTCATGGAACAAACTTGACTGCCGGTTGTGTTTTTCTTGAACTGCTCGCTCCGTGTGTGTGTGTGTGTGTTCTCTTCTCAGATCAAAGATACGTTCAAAGCTCCTGCGGACTTTCTGCACATCGCCCGTGCAAACACAAATGTTCCAATGGGGTCGCCCTCCTTTACGCCCCGTGTCGCTTCGCGCCGGCTCCTGACATTCAGCGACCCGGTGCCAAATGGAGCGGGGCGGAAGCGCCCTGTGATGCACACGCACGCGTCCGCCTCTCGGAGTCCGGCGTTCCACAGCCGACTCGTCAAAACCGTTTGACTCCCCGTCACTCTTAGCGGAGGAGGACCAGTTCTGAAGTGGGTGCTGCAGAAGTACCAATGGCTTTCATGCCCTCCCACCCGCACGGCTGTCTCTCATTGCGTCGTCGCCGGCGGGGGGATTTGGTCTGCACTTCGAAAAGAGAGTGCTGCCTGCCTCACATGGAAAAAAACAACATTTAAAACTACATATATTTTTGTTTATTTAAGAAAAAAACAAGTCCGGTGGGACTCACTTGTCCTCCTTTGAGCAGTCACGTCACATACGGTACGTTCCAACTCACCCTCTGGGGCAGACACAAGTTACCCTGGAGGTCTGTTTTTATCCCCACAGCGGCGTTAGTTATCTGGGGTTTTTTTTGGCTATTGATGCTAAGCGCTGGACATTAATCTACTCTGCGAGGAGCGCTTTGAAGAAAGTGTCACAGATGGGAAATAAGTGAAATTAATAAATATACGGTAGACGGTTTGATATCTCGTACAGGCCAAGATCAAAGTAAACCAATCGAGTTCTATTCTACCTAATATGTTTTTTAGTGATAAACAGTCCGGCTGAGGGAATAATCCCATCAAGCAAGAGATTAAAAATAGAAAAAAAAGCATCAGATATATCACTCAGCGCAGGCGGTCGGCACGGCTACCGCGAAGCCTCTGCGTTATTATGGGATTGGAAATCTCATTTCGTGGGTCTGAGTAGGAACGCAGACTTTTTTTTTTTTTTTGCCTCGTGGTTTTCCTCTTGGAATCAGGTAGGGAGACGAGAAGACAGACGCAGCGGTCTTCTGATACTGAGGGAGTCCGTCTGCTCCGAAGGCTCCGGTAACTTCTTGTCTTTCTCTTCTTTTTTTTTTTGTGTGGAATTTCTGAGTAGCTTGATGTTTCCGACATGTGTGTGACGCCCTGCAATCGGCATCGTGCTCGCTACCCCCGGCTGTGTGTTTTTGGTTGGGATGGCCGTGTGTGTGTGTTAGTGTGTATACCCATTGACGCCTTAGACACACACACACACACACACACAGTACGAAGGCACACTTCCGTGCTTGTGCACACAGTGGTGGTGTGACCAAAGCAGACAGCGAGGATCTTACTTACAGCAGATGGATGCCGTATCCGCACAGGCTCACAGCAGCACACGGATAAAAACACACACATATACCCACAGACGCGCACACACACACACACACACACAACTCTCGCCCAGAGCCTCACCTTGATATGTTGAGCTTCTGTCATGAGTTAGGATTTGACACCAACGAGTGTGTGTCAGGTTGTCAATTTCTTCCAGCAGCCTTTGGAATGCAGTCTGGCCATGAATAGTGCATGTTGTTTTGTGTTTTAGATTCCCACTGTCTGCGAGCCTGTTTTTGTTTGTTCCGGCGTAACTTGGAAGGCCTTTACGCTCACGTGCATCCTTTTCCAAGAAAACTTCCAGCAGGTGTTTTGTTGTTTAGCCTAAGGTGAAGACTCAGCCCCCGAGGTAAATCCACCAGGCCGCTCCTGATCCGATGCCCTCCCGTTTCTCCCGCCTCCGCTGTTGGGGTCGGATCCCCTTCCCTCTTGTCTTTAATGCACATGCTGGGGTAATGGGACGTGTTCTGGCAGCCGGTCCCCATGTTCTCCGCAGTGTACCACCTGAGGTCTTTGGCATTATTACGGCCGGTTGAAATGTGAGCCGCCTGCCGTTAAATGAAACCATCACGACCGCGTCCGTGGCGGGTTGATGCGCGGGCCGCTCGTGCAAAGCTTTTAAAGATGTAAAAAGGCAGCGGCATGTCGCTGACATTTCTCCTTCCCCTACTGCCGAGAGGCCATGCAGGTGTGTGTGTGTGTGTGTGTGTGTGTGTGTGTGTGCCCGTGTGGTGGGGAACAAATGAGTGTCTGAACTTACACAACCACACGGATACAACGCATTCACATACCTTCCCACGAGCACATGGGAAAGGGAAATAGTTGGGAAATTTATTTGGGCATATAGTTTTTATGCCAGTCGCCATTGGATTTACAGGTCAGAATGGAATGCGTCTCAATGAAAAGTACTTTGATCCCTGCGCCAGGTTGACGTTTTTATTGGGCGCGCTCCGTACGGCACAGGGCATCTTTTATAAGGTTGCGAGGAGCCCCACGGCAGCCTTCACAAAATCATAAAAACGTGAGACGTCAATGAAAATGACGGGATTCCAGTGCTAGCGCAGGTGTTTTTTTAATTTTTTTATTTGTCACTTATCAGTGTGTTGTACTGTGTTGTTTCCCAAAGAGGCGGAAGCTACTGCAGGAGTTGGGAGACCAGAAGATCCCCTTTCTGGGACCTTCAGATCGGGGCTATCAGCAACTGGTGAGCCACACTTTGACATTATGCTACCGACGGCAATCCCTGCACCTTAAACACCCTACAGCAGCCTTCTGTGCAATCCCCGTGTAGCGTGTAATATTCTGCTCAAGATATCGAGAAGCATGTTTTTCCAAAATAAGATTGTCATTTTCTTCTTGTCTGTTATGTTTTTGTATGTTTTTTTTTTACCATCACCCTGATAAGAGTGTCTTGTGTTCCCAAGTGGGACTCCAGTTACTCGGGCCTGGCCCTGAGGAGATCCCCCTCGCTGCCCGCCGGCCTCCACGCTCGCGTCCAGGCGGCTCTGTTCACGCTGAGGAGGAAGGGCTGCCTCCTGCGAGACTTGGTTCGCATCCGCGAGCGGGACGTGTTCACCGCCGTCTCGCGCGCGCTGCTGGGCGAGCCGGGCCACACCTATCGCTACCTGGACACGCGGCTCTTTGCCATCCCCTGGCACCGCGAGGACGGCGAGGTCAAAGGCCGCCGCTGCTGTGACCCCGAGTTCAGGGCCGCGTGCCAGGCGTTGTGTGAGCTCAACGGCTTCTTCTGCTCCGACGTGCCTCTGCTGAAGGAAGGGGACCGGCTTACGCAGTGGGCCAAGGGCGAGGCAGAGGCCGAGGCCAAGCGGGGCGAGGAGGGGGACACGGGGTCCAAACACAGCGAGGAGTCCAGAAACAGCGAAGGGGTTGACTCTGAGGAGGGGGACGCAGAGTCCAAGCACAGCGAGGAGTGGGACATTGAGTCGAAACACAGCGAGGAGGGCTGCTCCGGGTCCAAACAGGAAGGCGGATGGGACACGGATTCCAAACCCAGCAGTGAGGAGGACGAGTCCTGCCAGGTCCAGAAAAGCGAACCGGGGATCGCGGGGTTACCGCAGCGCAGTGAGGGAAAACTCCCCGGCTCGGCGCCGAGTGCCCTCGCCGGCACGGAGGTTAAACCTGCGGCACCAAGGGCCCGGGAGAAAGCGGTGGCCCAACTCAAGCACAGCTTGTCGGATCACCACCTGGAGGACAGGGAGGAGCAGGCCGGCGGGCAGGGGTGTTCCCAGCCGAGTCCCCGACAGGTCCGCACCGGTCCGGTGGAGTTCAACGTCACCTTACTCAACTACATGGACCCCGCCGCCATGAGCCAGCTCAAAGAGGAGCCGTACTACGGCATGGGGAAAATGGCGGTCGGCTGGCACCACGACGAGAACCTCATCAGTCATTCTCCAGTGGCCGTTTACAGCCACAGCTGTCACAATGACAAAGGTAAGGTTCAAAGCCCAAACAGCTTAAAATTGTGCAAATTGGAAAACAATAGTAGATTCAACACTCAGATCCAAAGTGTGTCATGAGAGTCTTTCCGAAATTAACGTTCCGTTTTTTTTTTTTTCTTTTCCTTTCCAATATCAAGTTATCTCCGTCGCTTTATGGTGGATCAGATACAGCTAACCTTGTGTATTATGGCCCTACAGCAGCGCTGCAGCAGCTGTAGACACGGCCTCTGGTGAGGCAGCCATCAGATCCATCTACGTGATAGTGTCAGGGCATTATCAAATGTCATCGCCGGCTCGCCGCTGACAGCCTTATCGCCGACCGCGCGTCGGGAGATCACAGACATGTGGATCCGAGCTCTTCACATCCACTGAATGCCGCAGTCTAACAAACAGGCCTTATCACACACACACACACACACACACACACCGCATCTCATCTAAATCATTTCCCCGAGAAATGATCGATGTGCAATTATCTGATACGGAATAATGAGCCCCTGCTTTGATAAGTGTTCCCAGACTCTTACTGTATGGGTAATACGATGTCTCCTAATTATGGAATGTGCACTCTTAGCTGGGCTGATAGTGGGTGCTGATCGAGTCGATAGAGAACCTCAGGAACGTCGCTTTCCAGAGCATATGCAAAGCGACTGTGGAAGGCTGTGTCGCCATAAAAAGTGTCTTTGTGATGTGTATGAAAATGACAGAATAGATAATACTCGCTCTACGCTTTTTTTATTGAAGCTCCCGAACTCAATGAGTGGATTTTAAAATAACCTCTTGTCCTTTTGACTGTTGCCGACCGGCAGGTAAAGGGGCCGTCGTAATCCAGCCAACATACAGTCCGCGTGCTCCACGGTCTCCGAGCTGTCCTTTTTTTTTTTTTTACGACATCAAACCGGTGAGATGCCGTCCGCTCCGACATCCCGACCCACTTCACAGCTGGGCTTTCTTCTTTGCCGTTCCTTAACCAGAAACACCTGCCGCGCCGGCCTGTTTCGGTGATTTGTTCCGGGCCGTTTCAACTCTGACCCCCCGCGAACACGAGCTTCAAACGTCACGGCGCGACACCTCGCAGCGGTCGGGGGCAGCTGCGTCTCTTCGAGACCCGAATGACCCGACAGCACCAGACTTTTAAGAGAGGAAAGCTGTGAGGACTCCCAGAACCCGGCTGATGAAACAGTTTCCGTACAGGGAGCGTCCCACGTTTCTTAAATTGTCCCCGAGGAGAAAGAAAGGCGGGGACATTGGACGTCTCAGGTGCAGGGCGATCAGATGCTTGGCGTGGCACCTGCTTCCTTTTGACAGGCATTTCTTTCCCTTTAAAGCAGCCTCACCTTTTGTTTCTCAGCCAGTGGAGTGTTCAGATTGTTTTTCCCCAGCTGCGCCGATCCAAAGGAATCTGCCACGGCTTAACATTTTCCGGCACAGAGGAAGATACCCCCCCCCCCCACACACACACACACACACACACCATCCCTCTATTCCCGAGGCCTTGGGGAGTGCTGCCATTAGCTGGCTCTCAGAGCACAATGGCTGGAAATTAAGTTACTATTTATCCGTGCTGAGCAAAGGAAAAGGCAGCTGTGGGGCAGAGAGGCCCAGAAAGACTTTAGTATTGATTTTGCTGAAGGGTGTTGGGCAGCCCGGCCAAATTGTGTTTGGCTTAGTATGCCGCGTAAGGACGAAAGCGAGAGAGAGAGAGAGAACAGGGGAAGCGGATGCAGCGGATGGCTTCAGAAACAGAAACATGGCGGGATAGCTGCTGTCCAATAACACCGTCTCACGCACTCACTCAACCACATCAAAGGGCTTTTATCCCAGTCTTTCCTCTCGCGCAGCATAATGACGGCATGAAGATCCGCTGCTAACAGCCAATATGATCGCAGCTATCATCTTCACTCTGCCCTTAAGTGATTCTTACCTTTTTAGAAACAAAGGCTTACATCTTGCCTCCCTTGTTCTGGTGGTATAGATTGAATCATTGCGCTCCTTACCATGCCATTGTATTCTTTCATTTTGGCCATTGTTGAATCATCTCGGCCAGATATCACTTTTTTCAGGGGAAAAAAAAGAGGTTGGGATTAATGTTGCGTTAAATAGCCGTCATTATACACCGAAAGACCACACGCTTTCCCGTAGAAATGTGAGGAATTTAAGCGCATTGCACTTTTCCACTCAGTTTAAGTCACGCTGGGTGAAACTGTCAAACCCAAAGCCTGAAACGTGAATATAAATGTAAAATGCAAATGTTCCAGTGAGTCGGGGCTGTTTGTGACTGACAGGTGAGAGCGGTGAGGGAGGCAGCGGGGAGAAGGCATGCTGGAGGATCGGGCTCAAGGTAGCCTGGGACATCCGCACACCTGGCCTGACGCTGCCGCTGGAGTCTGGAGACTGCTACTACATGAGAGGTACTAAATCTTCCCAGAAAACACAAACAAAACACGCGCACACCGGCATGTCTGACTTTGGAGGAGCTCGAGCATGTACGTGGTCCCAAATGACCCACGGCGGCAGGATGCACTTCCTGCTCAGCAGAAGTAGAGCTGTGCCGTGCGTGTGTGTGTGTGTGGGGGGGGGGGACGCCTTGGCCCGAACACGGAGCTTTAAGGTTCCATGAAATTGTGTGCATTAGCGAGGTTAGGAAAACCAAATGTTATTTATTTGAAGTCCTGTGAGCCGGCGCTGGCTGCGTCTCTCTGGGAGGACAGTCGGGGAGCCACACGGGTGTAAATCACAGCTTAATGCGTTCTGGCTGCAGCAGACGCCTCCGCACTCCTCTGTCCGGCCCTCAGGGAACCTTCCAAGCTTTCTCAGATTTGGTGAGTGTGAAGAAATTTATCCACCTAGTAGGAGACGTTTGTGTTTGGATGAAAAGGAAGTTTTGATGATATTATGTGGAAAAATTGACGAACGTAATGTTCCTCTAAGATGATAACAGATTTTTTATGTAGATGTTATGAAATTTCAGCCACTCCGTAATAGACATACTTTACTGTACAAGTCATTTAAGTCATTAAAACACTCTGTTACTGCTTATTTCTCTCAAAATCAATTTTTTATTTATTTTTCTACACAATATTATTAAATTTGTTTGTGGTAGTATACATATTCCAGCAAGTGATTTTAATTGTTATTAAAAGATTGCTGCTTTGATTATTCCAACAGAAAATCTGTACATCCATCTAGAGTACAATCACATGTGTTGTTTTATGAAGACACTGACCCCCTACCTGCGCACTCTGCATGAATGTCAAAGTCATAAATACACGGCTCAGATTTACAGCAGCTTTCAGCAAAGAGCAGAATATGGAGTCAGGGGTACGTGACAGACGTGATCTACAGGTTTGTTTCAAAAGCATTTCTGGAGACCTTTTTTAGGTTTTTTTTTTTTATGATCTTTTTCTTTGATGTTTCATTTTTTTTCCCCACTCTTGAGACCCATTCTACAGATTCAAAACATATAACCAGAGTACAAACCGTGCATTCGAGATTTGTAACTGCACCGTTAATACGTACAATACATACCCCGTATTTCATTGAACAGCACAATGGTTTTATTTATTCCTCGTGTTAGCCTCCACAAGTTAATTCGCCGTCTCCCCAGGTAGAGCGCGTTAGGTGAAAATGTGCAGGTGATTTACGGTTCGAAGTGAGAACCAGAACCGAAACACGCGGATCGCTGGTTCCTTTTTTTTTTTTTTTTTCTTTCCTTTCACGGACGAAAAGTGTACACTCCAAAAATGAGCTGCTCCCACTTGACCCGTCTAGTCTCCATCCACATCTACACTGTGTAAAGTGTTTGCCGATCTGATTCATCTAGATCAAGGAATAGGAAAGGTTTTAAATGGATTACTGAAGTTGACTTTTCGAAGCTGCCGTGTTTTCGCCCGAGTGCAGCGTCTGCGCCTGTGCCTGATATTCAGCCTGACAGGGCTTGAAGCCGACCTCCTTTAGCTGGATAAGATTTACAATAGAACAGTCAGTTTCAGGCCAGCCATGATAATAGAGTGATGGGCTGTTGTGCAGACCATTCTAATGGGACTTGACTGTCGCGGATCAGTGGGGATTTATGCTCCACTTGGTGAGCACGCCCTTGAGAGGCCAACTGCTGCACGACGATAGCAGCTCTCACACACACACACACACACAGTCAGTCAGTCCTCGGCTGTCTGACGCTTTGTCGGTCCACCTGAATTAAACACTTGGCACAATGCATGAACATATGCACGCACCTAGAAATTTGCACAAAAACACACACGGTCCTCTGCTCGTTGGAGGGAGGATAACCTCCCCCCCCCTCCCTTGTTTCTAACACACATATGCTCAGACAGAGCGGCCACCGCTAAGACCACGTGTGCTTTAGTGACATGCACCATATGATGGATAGTTAGTGGTATTAAAGGAAAAACTACAACGTTGTATAACCGCAGACGCTATAATGTCTTTTCAGCACCATTCGTCGTCGTGTGGCCCCTTTGAGCCGCTAATGTCTGAGCTGCTGGAGCCAAATTGAATCAGCATCATTTCCACCCAAATGGAATTTCAGTGGTTAAAGAAGAACAATGCAAGTCTTGACACCGGGCCTGTTCAATAATCAGATTTCCAGCTCCCAATGCACAGGGGGACCGCAGGAAAGAGTTGACCCAATATATTTAAAAGCCTGCTTCCTGGAAAAGGAGGACAAGTGGCAGCAGGCGCAGGGGTTGAAAGAAAGATAAATATTTATTACAGTTATCGAGTTTGCCTCTACTCCCTCCTGATCCCACAAACGCATCAGACGCGCCAAGAAAAGAGCAGATTGATGGAGATAATTTGTTATTGGATATAAACAGTTTTAAAGACGCAGAGTAATTCTGCCCAGAGACCTAATCCCTCACAATCTCATCAGGGTGAAGAAAACACTGGCAAGTTGTTTTGTTTGTCACCATCTTTTTTTTTTTTTTTTTCCTCCCACCAAACAATAATATCTTCCTCCCAAAGCATTTGGCTGTTTGACTTTCAAATCAAAGGCATTAGCCAGTGTACTCTTGCTCAAGGCGGGTGTAAATATGCACATGTGCTGTGAATGACAGCTCTGTCACGGCTAAATTAATTATTGGTATGAGGCAAATAATGGCAGAGCTGGGAAACTTCTACACACACACAGAAACACATGGAGGGATACACAGGAAACAGCAGTAAGGCCTCTTCGTAAAGCTCCTGTGATATTGGACAAATGTTTGTTGGTATGGCTCTTCCATCTTGACAGATTGAGCACGATCTGGTTTTGTTTGGTAATTAAAATTTTAGTACAATGCTGCTCATTCTTATTTGATTCGTTGCTGGACCGAGCGCAATCTGTCTGAGTGTACGAGATGATTCAGCCGGCATGTTCCTCCGTGCCCCGCTTTTCATCCGTTTTCCTGTTGTAATCACTTCTTCTCTTATTATAATTAATTAAAAACACATGATCAAAGTGAGAAATGTCAACTCTTGTTCCGTCCCGCCTGGCCTCTCAGGCTCCGCAACGTTTCACTGAATAATAATTGCAGGTCTTTTTTTGTTTTATTATTCCTCACTGCTCCACCGATGATTTTTGGTTACATTTCTCACCCCCTTTTTCACCAGACGACCTGAACAGCACCCACCAGCACTGCGTCCTGGCTGGAGAGAGCGCCCGCTTCAGCTCCACGCACAGGGTGGCCGAGGTGAGAATCTGTGGTGTAATTGAAGGATGCTATGATCTCTATTGTGTGAAAACCGATGAAAGCTAACAAATAGACCTTTAGAGAAATAAAACGTAAATAAATGAGTGGCATTGCAGTAATAGCATACATAAATACTACAAAAAAAGCAAAAAAAACCGTAGAATTATATTTATATTTCGGTTGACAGGGCCTAGCTAAACCCTACATGGCAGTTATTTGTAAAACACTGGGTCTGTCCGTCTCTTACCAGTGCTCCACTGGGACCTTGACCTACATACAGTCGCGGTGTCAAGAGGCCCTGTCCAACCTGCACACTGACCCAGAGACAGGCTCCCACAGCCTGCTGGCCCTGCTGCCGACAACGCTGCGGCACTGTGAGGAGATTCACAATGAGGTGGGAACGCTGTGTGCGTGCGTTCACGTGTGTGATAATGTGCGTTCGTGTTTGTGTCTGTTTTGCATTATCGCACACACACACGTGTCTGGGATTTTTGCGTGCTTTCAATTGCTTTCTGCCTGCTGCCAACGCGACCGACCCTGAATAGAGGAGGAAAATGGATGGATGGATGTCCTTACTCTTATTACTACTTTTTTGCTGGGCCGGAATCAAACGGCACTTGGAAATATTTGAAGGGAGTTTGGCCTGCTTGGAGTCCCGGATGAGCGAGGCTTACCAAATTGGACAACAGATCATGTGCCAATAAAGTTTAGACAATAGCGTGCCAGTCTTTAAAAGTTGGATTACATTTTTTCTGTGATGCTAACTGAATTCCTCTAATGGCCCTCCAAGGAGGTCAAAGACGACTTGCAACCATCTGCAAACGTGACATGATTTTATCGGGATCAAAAGGAAGAGGGGGGAGATATTAGAAAATGATCATGCAGCATAGAAAAAGTAGGCATCTTAATTAATATGGATAAAGACAAACATCCATTTGTGCCCTTGTATAATAATCTACTTGACAAACAACACGTATGATGGTTAATTACAGTCATATGAGTGGATCTGCACTAAAGTCCAGGCACCATTTACCCTGGTTTCAATAGTCCTTTCCACATCATGGGACACACAGACCGTACTGGCGGTCTGCTGATTGCAGGTTAAAACGCCGTAAACTGCAAAATGCAAGCTCGCCAGCTTTCTACCTCCTTACCTGATTGTTTCTACTCAGGGAAAAGCCCCTAATATGAAATCCAGGTTGTTCTCATTTGTCCCGGGCTGGTGATGGATCATCGGGCAATAGCCTCCCCATATGTTGTCTAAAGATGGAGTCATGCCCGCGCCCCTCGCTCGCTGGCCCCCCTTTCAGCGATGGTGGCGCTTGGGTTATAGCGGGTAAGACCGAGGTCAAAAAGGAACGCGAGGGGCCGCCTGCGGAGCCACCAGCCGGACCCCCCCCAACCACCACCACCACCACTACACTCCCTGTGCTAGCTTGCCGCAGGCCAACAGTTAATATAGCCCCCCCCACCCCCACCCTCCTCCTTGCCCCCGATTACACCCCTGGGCTCAAAGCGCGCATCCTAGCCGACGCTAGCACCCAGGCTCCTCAGCGGGACGCCATGACAGATGAGTCTGACGTAAGGTTGTTTAAAGGTTGTAGACGATATTAATTATGCAGCACTGGCAAACAATGGGTCTGTGTGAGGAGGAACGCTGCGCTAGTTGAGCTAGCAACACCTGCTAGTTTGCCGCATAGCGCAACAGGATTAGCGAGTACAGGCCCCCGTCAGACGGGGCAAAGCAGGTTTATTCAGGAAACCAAGATGCTGTTTACAACTGAGCAGGTGTGTGTGTGTGTGTGTGTGTGTGTGTGTGTACCGTACATTTCGGTAAGGGTGGGGGGGGGTGCTCTGGGGGGCTCAACCCCGCCCTAGCTGGCACTCACAATGATAGATGTGGCCATTTGTTTGGACTTGCCCACGAGTGCAGAACACCAACTTAAATGATGTATTGTTGGCGGGGTTATTTATGATGGCGGCCCACTTTGGCGCTTGGCGGGTGCGTACCGCGCCGGTCGTGTTTGACACGGACGACCGAGGAGTGAACAAGCCCGAGACGCGCAGGCAGCCTGACCCGAGCGCTGCCTTGTGGGCCTTCCCTTAAAAGCCAGCTAGCGGCGGCTGACGCGCCACGGATGCACATTGTGCAACGCGGCGAGGGTGGAGGTTGACACTTCGTCGGAGGACGTGGGCGGGCCTGACGATGATGAAGCGGAGCGTCTGCCATCTGAGCGCCAGGGCTCAGGGACGGGGGCGCGTTGGCGAGCTGAAATAGGGGGTGATAGGAAACAGAGACGGGAATAAAGAAAAACTGAAGTTCCCACCTGTTTGTAGAGCGTGGTCCCTCTCACTGTCTCTCTGTAATCTCCCCTCCTGTCTTAGGTGGCAGGGGGGTAGTCAAACATAGCATCGTCACATGGCCCCCGTGTGCATGTTTGTCTTTGAAATGCTAATCCCAGATGCAAACGTCTTGTCTCATTTAAAGCCACAGTGTCACTTCCCAGGTGTGTGTGTGACAGAGTGCCCTGAGGGACCCCCCTCTAATGACGCTAGTCCCCCCACGGTAAATATTGAAGGGAGGGACAAGGTTTTGCCACATGTTCTGGCAGAAAGTAAACTGTGGAAGCAGGTGTGCGTGACCTTGCGATGTCCCTTTTTTCAGGCCACAACGTCTCCCCAGGCTCTCGGGTATTTGCTTGGCTTTTTGCACCTGTCCTCGGGGCCTTATGCTGGCGATATCATTGTAATCGTATAAATCAAAACACATTTCTGCCAGCAGAACTGTGCAGTTCCAATTTCATTACCTGTTAATGTTTTAACTACTGCGATATTTTCATTCTTAAGGCTTATATAGAATAATGTAAATGCGTTTCATACCTGGAGTAATATTTTTGTTTTCCCTATTTTTTTTAAAGCTTTAGTCATAGTAGTTGATTTGTCTGTAGTTTAGCAGCGTAATATTTAGGAGCTCTTCCCCAGTCGCAGCTCAGAAGGGAAAACTACTTCTACGCGTGTGTGTCCTGAGACAGAAAAAGAATCGAATGTTTCACAGTTTTATGGATACAGAAAGAAGTAGAAAGGTAATCTGTGCGTGTGCAGTATAACCCAGCTTGCGTATGACCACCGGCAAGTGTGTGATGAGTGTAAATTGCGTGCCTGGTGGCTCACAGAGAGATGGAGGCGCCAGTTCTCCTGACGGATGTGTTAGGCGGGGGTGGGGGTGGGGGGGGGGGCTGAAAAAGGTAAACAGAGGACGACAGAGTGGGATCGAACCAACTCTCATCAGCTCCCACCTCGGGGGCCACGGCGATGGAAATTGATTGGACCCGCTCTGGGAATACCGTGAAGGTGTTGGAAAAAAATAAATAAAAACGTGCCTCATTAAGTGTGTGCGGAGGGGGGGGTGAGACTGCCTTGCCTTAACTCCACACTCGCCGTGGTGGGCGGCCAGTCCACTAATGTGGGGCTAATGTGTAGTTAGTGTGTCCATCACCTGGAGAGATGACAGCCACTGCCGCGGGGGAGCCACTAGCTCCCCCCCCGCCGTCTAGCCCCTAACAACCGCTCTCTCTTTGGAGCACACTTTCAATCTGTCCGCCTGGACAGGTGGCATTTAGTCCGAGTCCCCCCCCCCCCCTTCTCGGTAGCTCTCAGCTGGGCGGCCCAGGCTCCAAATGCCACGTAGCCGGCGCTCCTCAGTAGCTTCAGATGGCCGGCTCTGTGGCCCGCGTGGCGGGGGGACGGCCGGCCGCGTCGGCTCAAAGTGAAGACACGGGTTGGTTTCCCCCTCACTGAAAAAAGGACAGGCAGACAATCAGAGGGATGGAAGGCGGGACTGACAGAGGGGGAACGTCCCGATATATCGGCGCTACCGCGGCTTTGTTGTGCGTCTGAGCTGCGCTGATCGAAGGGGAGTGGGTTTGGGGAAGAGTGTTGAGGGGACCATAAAGGATGACATTTCTTTGAAGGGCGGCTTGTATGGAGTGAGTGAGAGGCTGCTGAGCAGTGCCACTGGCTGTGTATTCTCCCTGACATGCCCCGGTCCTTGCATGTCATCCCCGCTGTGATCAGAGCCCTTTGGAAGCAAATGGCAGGATGATTGTGAGCACGGCTCCTACCGACGGCAGAGCTCGCTCCAGTTATTTGTGCAAACAATTCTCGCCCTTTGCATTAGCATCGCTGCAGGCCAGTAGGTGACTCGATGACTTTTTTTATTTTATCATTTCTACCACGTCACTTTCAAATGATTCAGAGTTCCCAAGCTATTCCAGCTATACAACAAAGATAAATATATCTATATATATCTATATATATATAGATATATATAAATACTTTCCTCTATCTGGACCATGCGTCCTCGTTTGTTCCAATGCTAGATTTTGCAATCGTCACATCTTTTTACAGCCCTACCAAACTTGTCGTGCATTAGTTATATACAGGCATAGTCTGTCAGAGACAGCATTGGATGAAAGGGGATTACTGGTTCACAATAACCGTTTTGATTGGAGACTTTTCAGGGGTAGAGTTTCCCTGCATAAACCTGGACGCCCCTGCTTATGGGTTAGCAGCGCTGAAGCGGTTTGTCTGTTGTACACATTGGATAATGCGCTGTTGAAAGAACAATGACCTAAATAGTTTTCAGGAATGCAACAATAGAACTCTCTGATATGAGACTCCTTTGCGTGCGACGACTTCTTGTGTTGTACAGTTGTCGGTGCCAAAATAGAGCGCATTGTTGTTTTGGGTGGATGAGGCTTTGTAGGACGCTTTGGGGGGTTTTGGGGGGGCGTCTCGCGTTTACGTTGGGGCAATCTTTGACACTCACATTCGCAATTGTATGCAGAGACATTAACAAAGCCACTCACAGGCCGATGTAGATGCACACCGCGGCACGTACAGGTACAAACACACAAATGCACATGGAAAGACGCACTTAGAAATAGAAACGGGCTACACCCGGCTACGTGGAGCATCCTTGCGAGCTTTAAATCAGCACTTCAAAAGAGCAGGAAACAAAAAACACTCCCAGCGGAGGAGAGGCTCGGCAGCCGCGACTGTCATCTCCAGACGGAGCGAGGGAGTCGGAGGGGAAGGAGGGAAGGAGGAGGGCGGAGTTTTCAGGTGTGCTGACGATGTGGGTCAACAGACTGTCCGTAGAGTGTCCGGGTGTTTTGAGTTATTCTCCACACAGAGATGACCGATGTTTGTCCTGTTTGCTCAAACAATGTTTGTTTCCTTTCATATAAACTATTCTTGAAGTCAATACGTTAAAACGGGCAAATGGATTTACCTCATGCCGGAATTCCTTTTATTTATTTTTATTTATTTATACTGTAATATTTATTCATTCAGTTTTTTATAAAATGTATTGTTTTAAAATAATGTTATTAAGTGTTCATTTTTACAAACAAAAAAAGCATCCTTATTTTCCGTATCAAGATGCACAATAAGATATTTTATTAATACATATATTTTGTTCATAAAGAAATTGTCAATGTATTTTTGTATTTCTTTCCCCTTTTGTGTGTTAAACAATAGCAGTTGAAAGTTTGTTTTATATCATTATTTCACAATGTACAGTGATATATAAAAATGTTTGTGCTCCGATGTTAAATGTTTTAATTGAGGAGTAGTGACAATAGCCATGAGTCATTTAATTAAACCTAAGAATTTATTTTGTGTGTGTGTGTGTGTGTGTGTGTGTGTGTTGCTGCAGGTGGAGTTTGAGTGGCTGAGACAGTACTGGTTTCAGGGCCAGCGCTTCGCCCGCTTCTGCAGCTGGTGGACCGGACCGATGGAGCAGCTGGAGAAGGACTGGAAGCTCATGGAGACGATGGTAAGGCCGCTGGGACACACGGCTGCTCTGGAGCCGGTGGGGTCTCTCCACCTCGCAGCTTTACTCAACATTACTTCACTGTTCCTTTCAGAAGATAATAAATGAAAAACTGAAAAATGGCACTTTTTTTATATACAAAATCAAATTTGTGATGTAGATAAATATGAAATATCTCTTTATGAGATGAATAGATTTCAACACAAAGTAGGGTAGTGTAATGAAACCACTTTTTCTACCATGCCCCAGAATGCGAGCTGTTCCTGCCCGGGCACTCTGTCATTTCCTAATAAGGGTTCTCAGCTTTGTAAATGCTTAACATGCCTGCGCTTGTGCTTCTTATACAAACTACACAAGTGATCTGTTGTCCAATAAAGCTCCTCACACGGGAGGGTGTGTTTAAAATGACATGATGGATTGTCTTAACTTCTCACCACGCTGCGTTATTAAGGATGTGTCATGTGTTAAATTGCAGCTTCACAGAAGTTTTATTAGAGAGGAACGTGGGCACGCAGCTATTAGTTAGACACCACTGTAAAGGAATCACTTAGCAATGTCAGACTCGTAATTAAGTTACCTTAGTCACAGCTGCATACAATAGAAATGTGAAGGACACACACACACACCGACGCACAGCAATGTAGTTATGCAGCTCACAAAATCACACCTATACATGCTTGGTTTTGCAGCCCCCCCCCTTGTTCTTTTGCAGTCGGTCTCTTATAGCTAGATTTCAAAGAGCGTGTGTGTTCCTGCACGTGCGCGTGTTTAATACCCAGACAGCAGAAGCAGCAGGGGGCACTCTTGTATCACCGTAGCAGCAGCAGCAGCATCGGCGCTCCTCTTTCCCTCTCTGCTCCATCTCTCTCTCTCTCTTTCTCCTTCTGCGTGTCTCTTTATGCCGCTCGCCCTCTCCTGCTGTCTGTGGGAGCTCTCTGTCTCTGTCAGTGTGGAGCGCTGAGCAGTAATCACATCTAATGCTCGGGCGGGGATAAAGGCAGGAGCTGGAGGAGAGCCGCGGTGCTCGCCGACGCCGTTCGGCTGCAGCTGTAGTCTCTCTCTCTCTCTCTCTCTGCGCTCCCTCTTTCTCACTTAGTCCAACAGCCTGGCAGAGGGTGGGTATGGGGGGGGGTGGGTGGGGGGTAGTAGACAGGGGCTAAACTCATCTGGAGCTCCACCTTCCCAGATGAAGTGTGTGATTTGGACCTGTAGTTAGAAAAGGGCATCCGTGAAATGTGAGGTCTCTCTCCCTCTCGTGCCGTCTCAGACCCTCTTAATGGGCGAGAAAAGCACATCCTCCGTGTTCCCGTTTCATGTGGAGTTTTTGACATGCTGCAGAAACGTAAAATACAGCAAATAAAATATGCGACACTAAGTAAATAAAATCTTTTTAAAATGTTAATACATATTTTTAAATGACTGGTTGTATATTTTAGATTTTTTCAAATCTCAAGTTACTCTGATTTGAACAATAGTAGACAGTTTGATCTCGTGTCAGATCAAACAGAACCAGGTATGTCTCCTGCAGAGATGCATATTGAACGTTGGCAAAAAAAATAATACAGCGCTGAAAGCATAAATGTAGTCTCTCACTATTGTGATGAAAGACAACATTATTGCTCTCGCAGGCAATATTTACATACATGCATCGACCTCTGATATGCTGATGAAAAGCACATATGGATGTGACTTATAGATTTTCCTGTTAGAGGTTTTGAAAGCTGTGGCTTTTCTGCAGCAAGATTAAAACACATTCCCCTAAATTACTTTGAGTTATTTAGATTATGTGCGTTCCCTCTACGTTCCTTTATTGCATATATTTCACATTTGGAGTCTGGAAATTGACAGTAGAGCGTAATTTAGTGAAATGCGAGTGACCGACTGGAGGCAGATGCTGTTTGCCGTTTATTTATTTAGGAGTTTTTCTGTTCTTGCCTGCAGTTTATTTTAATACAGCATTATTTTTGTCAAATCCAATATCACCATGGGTATTTTAGAATAACAAATATAAGTCTCTTTAAATAGGGTTTATAAATTGACACCGTGTTGTTTTATACTCTCTGCTGTAGCAATAAATCAGCCTATTGTTTTGTCCTGCTAAAATAGCAAAACAAACAGCCAAACTCCCTCTCTTTATTGTCATATTTAGCACGCGGTGTTGTGGGATGCGCTGGGCCACGTATGCGCTTGTTAGTCTGTATGAAGAATATTGCAATATGGGGGCACCGGCGCCTGTTTATGGATACTGTCTCTGTCCCTGGGGCTCCTTCTCTGCTCCGCGCCCTGTTGTCATGCAAATGCTTATCCTTCTATTTGAATGACATTTTGATAAAATACATAAATATATAAAGGCCACCACCCCCCCTCCAAAAAAAAAAAAGTCCACTTGCTTTCTCGTCTCTTTTCTGTTTCCTGATGGAAACAAAGAGACGTGCTGCTCCTCAACTTCAAGTGGAGGTATGAGGATGTACAGCAAATGTATTATTTGTGTGCGACGGTGTGGGGCCGGGGAGGGCCGGGGGGGTTAGTGTATATAAGGTAAAGGTTGTTTTTGGAGTAAAAAAACAAAAATCTCTTTTGCACTCCCTTGTGATGCAGGGTGCTAAAGTGTGTTCTGACCCGCCTCGCTCGCAGCTCCACGTCCCCTCAGGACTCCGCTATCACACAACAGTGACATTTTCTAAAACTAGCAACAATGAATGGCTTCCGTCTGACTGACAATAGACAGAGAGTCTTGGCTTCATGCAGAATATATTAAATGCCGGTGTGGCATTTTTTTTTTTTTTTAATCTTTCCTCTTTTCACTGTGGGGGAGAAGCGACAGCGACGAGCACATGAGCACATCTCCCCCTTTTTTTCTCTGTCCTGTGCGTGTGTTTGTGTGTGTGTGTGTGTGTGTGTGCCATTGATGTTAATGTATGCACTTGGCATGACTTTAATTGATTTAGCAGCTCTGCTCGCACAGTACAGCTTTTTCCCTAATTTGTCACTTTCCTGACTTCTGTGGCTGCTCATCTCACAACTTCAAAAGCCACCTCGGAAGCAAAGAGATTTCCGTTGCTCTCCGTCTCTCTCTCTCTCTCTATGTTCTTTCTTTCCCTTGTTTTTTTTTTCCCCCTCTCTTGCTCCCGCTATCTCGCCGCGGCGCGGCCTCTTTCTCACACTTTCTCCCTCATTTGACAGGAGAACGAGCCGCGTAGATGGAAATCTTTTCAACGCACATCAAGGAAATTAATCTACTTTCATAATAAATGGGATCCACTCAGCTGAATACATTTGTATACTTCAAGATGTACAAAACAGGAAGTGGTATCGCGGCCACGTCTTCCTCTACGCCATTCACCCGGCCTGTCACTCCCTGTTTGGTCACGCATGCTCACACACACACGCACACACACACACACACACACACACGCAAACATCCACTTTCTCTCCTCTTTCTTCTCATTGTGTGACACAATTTCCCTCCTCCCATTTGTAATGGACGCCGACTTTTGCTGGCATGCATGTGCGGGTTGAATGTGCACGGATGCGCTTAGTGACCGTATCCCCCCCCCCCTCACTCTAATAACTGCCCTCGGAAACAATCTGGGCCGGCGGGCGAGGTTCGCACCGCGATAATACGCAGCCCGGCCCGGTCGCCATCGATAGCTGATTAGGTTATTGACCTGGCGCTCGCAGGGTCGGTGCTGAGGAGTGGTCGGGGGGGGACAGCGGCAGCGAGCTGTAGGGAGAGACACGGTTGTGGGGAGGAGAGGTGAGGGGGGGGGGGGTCAATGTAAATGTTATTGCTGTGTGAGCTCATTTGATCAAAGTCCTGGAAAGGTTAAGCGAATCCAATCTGGTTTTGTATGGCAGAGTGGAGACACAGGCGCTGGGGGAAGAAACCCCCAGGACGGAGAATGGATTATCATATTGGCGCTGGAGTAGCAGGGGCCTCCGATGGACAGTTTACCCCCGCCCGTAATGCGTTTAGACAGCAATTGGCCTTAATAACCTTTATTGACTTCAGCGGGTCAGTGCCAGGAATCTAATTATCAAAGTGTATCAATTTCATTGGAGTTTAGAGTTGCACCGCTCAAAATAATTATTCTAAGGTCGGGCCGGGGCAATTAATCCCCTCTCCACTTATTTGATGGCTTTGTAAAACATTATAAATGTTATGGTTTCTGTAGTGCGTTCCACCGTAAATAATTTCAGGGAGCAATTTTTGGTAATGCATTATTTGGAGAGCTCGCCGGCGCTGGTCCTGCAGCAAAGGAAGAAGGCGGCACGTTCGGTGAGCCAGAGGCCACAGCTGAGTCGTGTTGCAGATGTTTACCAGCAGTCCTTCTTTCTCTCTCGCTCGCCATTTTACTCGAGTTTTACACCCACTTTATATGCACACATGGAAGCCAGATTCATCACAAGTGTGAACTAAGCTGTAAAGTGGTTAAAGACCCTTTATATTGCTCATTATGAAGCCCTTTATTATCTCTTACATTAAATCACACTGTGTTTATGCATCACACTGTCTTGCATTTCAAGCTCTCTGCTCGGCAAATAGGCTTATACATTGATTATACTCCAGTTCTTTGTGGTTTTACGCACACATGCAGTACGCATGTGGGTATTTTTCTATGCGTCGGCGTCTCTGTGTCTTTATATGTTTTTTGCAGTGTGAAGGCAAAAGGTAAATGTGCAGCGGCACCGCAGTTTATCCTTCATTGACAGTCCAGACGTGCCGTTACCTGGGTAGTAGCAGCTGTTTCTCCTTATCGCACAACATAGACCAAAGGCCTAATCCACACACTCATTATTGCACAGCCTTGTTTACCCGCGGCTCAATATTAGCTCGCTTGCTTGGCCCTATTTAGACGGCGCTGTGTGAAAAAAGAAATTACTCAAAGATTATTGTTATTATTCATTTAAAGAGGAAATATACGGCTGATAATACTTTTTTTACATCAGGCGGCAGCTTGTGTTTGGAAATATAAAATGAAAAGAAGCAGGAAGAGACAGAG